GTGCGCGGATGATCGTCGTATAGAGCGGTCAGGTTTTAAGGCCATTAAAGTCGAAGGTGGTATCTTTTGATATACTATTCTCATATTAGATGACAATGACAGAAACGATAAGGCCATTAATGTCCAAGGTGGTATCTTTTAAAATAATTCTGATGACAATGACAGCTATTAAAGTTGCAGAAACGCTGAGCACCGATCGCAGGCTTACCAGACTATCGAGAAGAGAGGTCGGCTCCAGGCCTTCTATGGCGACTATCGGCCGAAAGCCGTTGAAATCTCTTCAAATTAGGCCATTTTCAACATCGATATTTTGGTTATTTTGGGGGATTATATTCTGTTTTTTTTTTTTTAGTTTAAAAATACACTTTAATGCTTTCTGATTGTGGATTTGTGGTTCTTTTTGCCGTGCGGTGCGTTTTTAATGGGTAAATGATCGCGATCCCCAGTGTAGATTTAGGGAAAAGAGGAAAGCCGGATGACCACTCGAGCTGAATGCTTTCTTAGATATTTTGATGAGTACCTAAATTTTTAAAATTCTTTCTTATTGGAAATTTTTCTGTAATTAGTAATAAATATGTGCAATGACATTAGTTCTGCTAAATAGTACAGTAGGTGAAGATAAGTTATTGTGTTCTCTCCCAAAAATCATATGATGCCACGCCCACCCTCGTAAGACTTCGGTATCTTTTAGGGGTAATTTTGTAAATTTTCGCCGAACAGTCGCGAACTACGATATATGTACGATAGAATAAGCTGTTTGTCTCGCCCCAACCCTCTCCAATTATATACACAGGAAACCCAAGAGAAAAACGGAGGACGCTACTGCGACCGATAGTTCTGAATAGATTTTGTTATCGTGCAGTATATTCAAGATTGCAGAATAGATTTAGAATACACTAAATTTGCATTCGCTGCAAATAAACCCAGCTAAGTATTTTCAAGAGGCATGAGGATTATAAAGCTAGAGCTCGAATGTTCGCGCTGTTTTGTAGAATCACCAGTCAAGAGTATTATCCGGTTAAATCGAATGAAAACGATAACAATGACTTCGATTGACGACAAACTTTCATGATGTAGGAAATCATTGAAGTACTGAATTACATTTTGACAAGCTTATTGGGATTATAAACCTGTATATACTGTCATAGAACTTAATCGGGACTAAAATTGTTGAAATTTATGGCGTAAATGGATATTTTGATGATATCGATTCCTGCTTGAAACCTTTTTTTTTGAAAATCTTCAATAATTTTGATGAAATATAGTAGAAAGTGCCCAATCCTGATAAAAATCCATTTCAGTGCTGATAAAAAGTCACTTTGGTGCTGAAGGAAGCCATTTGAGTGCTCATAACTAGGAAGCCGTTTGGGTGTCGACAGCAGAAAGCCATTTCAGTGTTACTTAATCGAGTCTTTTTAGTGTTAAAGAAAGGCAATTTGGACTGAAAGAAAACCATTTTGATGCTGAAGAAAGCTATTTTATTGTATGACGAGCCATTTTAGTGCTTAAAGGAAGCCATTCAAGTGTCTACTGAAAGCCAATTCAGTGTGATTTCATTAAAGGCTTTCTTTCTGGTTGTAAAGAGAGTCATTTTGGTGAAGAGTACGGATAGAAAGCCATTACAAAGTTAAAGTTATTGGTGGTAAAGAAAGCCATTAGAGTGTTGATAGGAAACCATTTCAGTGTCGACGGATCAGAAACTCTGCCATTACATGTTGATCGAAAGCTATTTAAGTGTTGATCGATAACCCTTTCTTGGTAAAGGAAGCCATTTTAGTGGTGATAGGAAACCATTTCAGTGCCCTCTTTTGGACACCCCTTGAAACAGGGAGTATAAGCTCAAAACAACTAAATGGGTCATCAAGAATCCTTAAAACATGGATTATGTTAACATGAGCTAGAACATGATATCTATGTGATTCAAAAATAACTTAAAACATGCGAGTATCTTACCTCAGGAAGCACATCACTCCTTTGGTCGCCCCAACAAGGTTCAAATCAAGCGGTATTAATTGKGTATCTMTAAGTTGATCAAAGGAATGGACGCTGGCAATACGAGTCTAGCAAGTAAGATTGTATTTCAGCTGTAGAAATTATCTCTRAATAGGTACAATGCACAACACATATATACTTTAGAATTCAGTCACGTCGCGCCCCACAAACTGTTGCCTAAATTGTTCTTAATGAATACTAGATATCTCAAACTCAACAGGAGGGATTTTTTTAGGCCCAGGCCAGTTTGACAGGGATTTTTTTCTAGAAACAAAATATGTCCCTTAAAAATAGCTATTGTACGTATTTTGATGGCAAGTTTTGAAAACACTCATTTCTAATTGTCTTTAAAAAACGCAACAATTATTTCTATTTATGGTTTGTTTTGAACTTATTTTGTGTCTTGTTTTGATAAAAGTTTATTACTTTTGTTGACTGTCCATCTTCTGATCGTTATTTTTTTTTTATTTTTCGTTGATTTTTGCTTTTTTTTTCTTCCGTTTAATTAAATCCCAGTGCAATGAATGGAAATGAATATCAAAAAAAATAAAAATAAAAATCATATCCCTTACTGCTTCAAAGTTTTCCAAAAAAAAAAAAAAGAAATCGACAGAAGCCCAAAATTGAGGGCACTTTCCAATTATCAGAACTGACTGGACAGACACATGGAAAATGCCATAATTAATCATTCGCGTTCACTTACTGCACTTCTAAATTTTATCCGCTATTTCAATATTTAAGTATTTTTAAACTTTTCTGTTGTTGATATATAGTATAGTCAATACATACATTCAGATATATAACTTTTTTTACTTTACATTCAATATATTTTTGTAATCTTATCCGTCTCAGTTAACCGTATCTTATTCTCCTATAGTAAAATATCTGCCTAGATTAACTGTTGTTAGCAGATAAATATGAACCGGTAATTCATCTAATATGGAATAAACTATGACGCTATAACCTATAAACTTTCATTATCTTGACATTTAACTCGCTTTTTTCAAAGCAATAACTTTTAAGTTAGTAAAAAAAAAATTAAAAAAATGTTTACAATCGTTCGAGATTGCGCGTTAATTATTGAACAGATAACAGTTGATTAAGAAAGTCACGGAAGTTCTCTAAAAAGCCAGTTGAGTGCTAAAAAATCCAGTTTAATGCTGATAAAAAGCCAATTCTGCGCTGATAAAACTGATAAAAGGCGCTCAGTAAATCAAGGATAAGTAGACGACAAACTCATGGTTTTAATGTAAGCCACGWTAGCATTGAAAGACACTGACTTCTTATCATGTTGCGCCTTTCTGAAAAGAACACGCTAAAAATAAACATAATGAAAAAATAAAAGCTCAATCCACTGACGAGGCTGTGTCGTAACATATTATGGGATAGGGATCAGCAGAACCTCTTTCCCAGGTCCTTTTCGAGCCAAGGCACATGAAGAATGCCGGGTCGTTTCGATCCAAAGACGTTTCAATCCAAGTTGTTTCGATCCATTTTTAGGACGTTTCGATCCATTGTTAGGACGACTCGATCCACTCAGTATATAACAACTCAAAATACATAAGTATTATTACAGATATGTTAAAAAGAAGGTTTTTACTGTAATCTAATGACTTAGCATGCAATTTTAAACGAGAGAAAGAGCCTTGTAAGCGTCGTTTTTCGATTGATAATGAAACAACTTGGATCGAAACGTCTTTGGATCGAAACGAGCGGATACCCACATGAACCTGTGAACGAGTGCTATTTTTGGATCAGGATCAGTCGATAAAGGATCGGATCAGGATTGAAATTATATTTTCTCTTTCATTATTTTATGCCTTCTTTTATTTCATGCGCATATAATATAAATACAGCAAAAATTATGATCTTTTTGCCTCATATTTCAAGTAAATATAAAAAATATCAGAAACTATAGGACATTATAGCCGATATTTCTTTCAGAAAGTACTAGTACTAGGCAACTTCAAAGAATATCAGCGATGATATCCCATAAATTCTTATATATTTTATATATACTTGGAATCGGAGTCAAAGTGATCATAATTTCTCCATATTGCTGTAATAAGAATAATATTTAAAAAATAATAATAATTACAATGAGAATGATGATGATGATATTGTTAAAGCTAAAGGAAATGTAATGCATTAATGGTTAAAAGATTAAATATATGATGCGCGCGATTATAAATTGCAAATTCAAAAATTACAATTTTAGCACCATTTTTGTAATAATTCTTTTATATAGTCTACTTTTGTCTCTAAGAGTTTTTCTATCTGTTTTTCTCAAATGACAAAATATTTCAAAAATAGACCTTCCACTCGGATTAAAAAAAGGCACTTCATAATTTACGTATATGTGTGTGTGCGTTTCCGTCATTTTGTCTTAGTGCGACTTAAAGGATTAGGATTGAACTTTTTTTTTTTTCAAAAAAAAAACATGAATTCAGACGAAGGTAATTGACGTAATCATTCATTCAGGCTTATCTTGAAGAAAAATTTAAAGGAAACTCTTCATAAAAATGAACTCATTAAACCCGTGAAAGAAAATTTAACTATTAAAGTGTGATAGTCAAATACACAGAAAAGAAAAATTCAATTAGAGCGTACTAAGGTGTATTAGTGTAATATCTATTTCACGGTCTTTTTGACTTCATATTAGTACGGTTTTTTTAAGAAGATTTTACATTTGGATTTATATCATTTGCGTTAATGTCTTATGAAATACCATTTTTTATCTACAGTCATTTACAAAAATTCAGACCGCTAACATATATCAATATATTGCGGGGCGTATCATGTGTAATACTATATAATTGTCACTCTTTTATAGCTAAAACAAATCGAAAATCATTCGCACACTTAAAAATGATATTTATCAAAGATTTTTGAAGCAAAAACTACAGTTTTATGTTTAAATTTGGAATACTAACTACCCTATGTAGTTGATAATTTGTATACGTTAGCGGCCAGAATTTCTTCAATTGKTTATATTRAAGAATAATGGAATAAGAACATGAACGAAAATGAATAAAAGAATAGAATATAGCAACAACTATAGGAATAGTAATAAGAAAAACTGCGAAAACATGAATGAAAATAGAAATATAATAACAGAACAAGAATGCGAATAATACCAACTCACTTGATAGAAAGATAGCCRCAACTTTTGCTTTGACAGGATTTAAAGTTCCTMTATTTGCTATTGAAAAGRAGTCMACCAATTGTTTTGACTGTTTAAATGAAGGCAAATCGAGTGTTTTTYCAGCAATTTGTCTTGACGCAGCCGATACTGAAAAAGGATGCTTTTAAGGCATCAATAATAAGTTTTTATAAACAAAGTCTTTTATTATCATCATTATGAAATACTATTTCGTTTTATTGAGTCCATATACAGCTTATTGAAAAACGTAGTCAGGTTCCAAAGGGCAACATCTAAGCTACGACCGATAGGGAACATGGGAAAGAAAATATTATGAGTCTAGAGTCTTTGCGGGTCAAAAGATCGCCTGTACCTGAATAAAAAGACCTTCTCTACGGGTAATGGTATAGGATAAGACGTTTTGGCAAATATTATCAGAATTTCTGAGTATCCAAGATCCCTTGCGGTCTTAGCGTTGATGGCATCTCTCTTTTTTCGCGACAATGTTTATTTAATTAGGTGTATAAGGCACAATTGGTAGCTAAAGTGTTCTGGGATACCCTCTACGTGCCAAGGAAGACATTTAAGTGCTCATAAAAAGCCAATCCAATCAGGAAAGAAACCTGAATCGCATGAAAATCAATTAAGTGTGTGTTTATATACCAGGAACTAAGAAGGCAGTTAAGTGCTATAGTGCTAAGAAAAACTCCATTTCATAGCAAAAAAAACCTATGTAAGTTTTTTCATGTATATTTTTTTATTGAGGAGCAGACTATAGGAGGGATCGCGAAGATCTCTTTTACACCATGCACTTAGTCTATATGTAGGTTACTTTAAGTAGTTAAGTGCATGGTCTTAAATCCCATCCTGTTCTTTGATAAACTGCGCACAGTTTTTTTCCATACATTGCACTAAAAGGTCAAACTATCTCCGAAGCAAAGGGCAATGTTCAATGCGTTTTAAACCCCGTTAAAATAAAGCATTTTGCATTTTATTAGAATTGAAATCAGCATTTAACCTGAAAGCTTGACACAATGTTGGAAAATGAAATGATATGGAGCGAAAAAACGTCATTATGTAGTGTTTATTAATATTTAATTTATTCTGGCTGAGTTCTCAGACAAATATCAGAAAATACGCCGAATATCACGGAGCAATTACAACAAGAAAGATCTGCTGTGTGTGGAAAAATTCGTGAAACTACTTTTTATTTACAATTTGAGCGAGACGGCAGGGAGATTTGCATCCCATGATACATTGTAAACCGATTCAAAATGGCGGCATTGTGATATGAACTATGATAGCGATGTTAACGATGATAATTTTAAATTACAGGTAACGTGACTGCCCCAAGCTGCACCAAGCCGATTGATACAACGGTCCAAGTGGTTCTTACCATAGGATATGCTATCATATTCCCTGTAGCTTTGCTAGGTAACTCACTAGTCTTATATGTGGTCTACAGACATCAGAGTCTCCGCAACGCCCTTAACTACTTGATCGTAAACATGGCCATTGCAGATCTGCTAGTGACCATCTTAATCATGCCCTATTCTACTGCATATTTATTTATACAAAATCTTTGGTTCAGTGGTGTATTTGGGGACATTTTGTGCAGATTGGTGCACTTTTCACTGACAGCTTCCATAGGCGCGTCTATTTTCACTCTAGTTACAATGACTGTTGATCGATTTRTATCGATCGTGTTCGTCTGGAGAAAATCGCTAACTCTTGGATCATCCAAACTCGTSTTGGTATTGATATGGGTTCTTTCGTTCGTCATGTTCGGGTTTAATTTGCGWGTCTACCGAGTCGACTTCATCTTCGGAGCTTTCCGATGTTATCCRAGTTTCATCGGCTTCCCGCCGGARTTCCCGAAGATTTCCGCTATTTGTTTCTTTGTGTTCCTGTATGCTATTCCACTACTGTTGATGGCAGTTCTTTACTCTATTATATGTTACAAGCTATTTAAGCAGAAAATGGCGGGAGGAGACCGTGAGATTGACAAGAAGAAGAAACGTGTGATCAATATGCTAATTACTTGTACAGTATTCTTTGCACTTTGTTGGCTTCCATTACATATCTTGCATTATTACATATACTTCAATATGAAGACATATAAATGTTTTCCACCCTTGTTTATCCTGGGGGGTTTCTGGCTGGGACATGCCAACAGTGCCGTGAACCCGTGCTTATACGTTATTTTTAAYAAAACATTTCGGATGGCGTTCCTCAAGGCACTACACTTGACCAGCTTTGACAGCAACAATTGGCATCCAGGAACAACGAACGTTACGCGCGTACAACGCACRGGAATGCAGAGTTTATATGTGGAAGATGAAGAAGAGAATAAGTTAAATCTGGCACAACGTTTTTCAAAGCGATTCCGCGCTTCCTTTGCTAAAGCCTACGCGAAAATCAGGAGTGCAAGCGACGAGGATTCAAATGAGCTGGTCGACAAAAGAAAGTCAGTCGTTGTAGTGTCTGAGCGGATGACGAGCTTGTGAAAACGTTAAAAGTACGTGAGCATGAAATAAAAGTTCAACGGGTAAACGCATCATCATGACACCTACACTGTGAACATGATACCAACGAAAGCGTATGAATATACGTATACATATTGCACCGTGAAGCGTAAACGTGACAGTAACCTAACGTGCAATCGTAATGGGGATAACAGCATAACGTAAACGTTGTGATAACGATGGCGTAAGGCGTAAACGTTAACGATAGCGTGGCGTAATGGCGTTCATGCCTACAACAGACCTACAATATATAACGCTTACACGAGATAAAAATGTTAGTTCAAAGAATAAACGTAACGATATTCCGTAAACGAAGGGCGGAGGCATAGCGTACGTACCCATCGAGCTGATATAAACAACGGGTCTTTCAAGCTACACTAAATAGAGAAGGTACGCCTAAATCAAGAAGTGTTTATCRTAAGATCTGCTAACGAAAATCGTCCAGCTAAGCGTAAATATCGCGAACGGAAACGTTAAAAMTACAAGTGGATGATACTAGAGCATTCGATAAAGCACTTAAAAACGACACAAAAGTATAAAATATGATACTATACAACTTATTAATTATTGATCATGAATATCTCGTATATACTGTTCTATGAAGCTAAATATCGCTATAGAAAAATTATATATGTATGTATTTAAGGCAACACTTAGAGTACGTTGCCTGAGGTCAGTTGTTTCGCGTGTTAAGATTAAGCGAAATCGTAGACAACAACTTAGACACTTCGACGCTAAGATGGAGAATATAAAATGATGCGAAAGCAGGAACGAATGACGTCATATTCTACGTCATTAGACGTAATATTGACACGACGTCAATAAATGTTATAGATACTAGCTCCATACACTAGAGAACTATGGGCCGGTCATTATTAGACGTAGCTAGCGTTGCATACGGAAATAATTCTCCATGGGATCGATTTACGAAGGGAATTCCGTAAGCAACGTAAGCTTTATATAACTCACTGTAAATTAAAATGCTGCGTATAGAACCAARTCACATTAGAGGAATTCTAGAAATAATAAAATGTACAAAAATGAAGATATTTATTGCATTTTATACATATAGACCGTCTCTTAAATGCAAATATCAGGTTTTCGAAAGCCGCCATTGTTGAATGCATGGGCAATGAAAAAAATCCCTACAAACCGAAAATTACCGCAAAATACGAAAGATGTAAGTTATGTACTCGTTATTCGATAAGGACGCAACCTATCTCAAGCTAATTTACAACCATGTATACTTTGTATGCTTAATTTTTAGTTAGTAATTCCGTAAAAAACGTTAGTAGAAAACCTTAATGTTGCTGTGAACGATACCCCAGCGTTTTACGCGCGTAAATTGTGAGATTCGTCATAAAGAACAAGCTTTACTCAGATCGAACGTAATGAATCTCATACATATATATATATACTTCCTTACGTTTTACCTAGCGTTTTACGCGCGTAAATTGTGAAATTCGTCGTATAATACAGAACAAGCCTTACTCAGATCAAACACAACATAATAGAGAGTTTTAGATTCACGTTTACTACAAACGCCAAACGTCAAATTGGCTTTTATGCTTTGTCTCAAAATTTCAAACAAAAATTAAAACGCTTCGAAAGGAATAGTGATGCGCTTATGCACGAAAAAGTGATCTATCTTATACACAATCGCGAAAGAACGGAGCGTTAATACAGAAAAACAGTGATCACGTGTTCAGTTTTGACGTTTGTCGTTCGCCGTAAACGCGTATCTAAAACTCTCTATCTCATACTACCTTACGTTTTACTTAGCGTTTCAACCGTGCAAATTGTGAGATTCGTCGCACAGAACACCCTTACTCAACAGCAACTTTTCATAAGGAAGTAAATGACATATTATTA